GAACACTCTCGTTGAACTTGTGTACCATTTGTGGTATTCAGGAAAAACGATAAGCTTAGGCCTGTTTCTAAACAATAGCAGAAGTGTCAGTTTTGCCATTACAGTACGGTGCCAATATCGAGAAGGTAGCAAGGCTCGTTTGGTTGTTTGATTCTGATTTATAGGCAAAGTCAACTCTTCTCTAAGCAGCAAACGATGGTTGTTAAAAGTTTCGGACAGTTTATATATTTATGTTTGAAATTCCTACATTGTCCTGAAGACGTTATACTTATGTTGGATCAAAATGTAAGCGCTATTACTATTATAAAGGTCGCCAAGTATGAAAGGCACGATTCTTCTATATGGTCAGTTTGACAGTCACAAAGGATGGATCAAAAGTTCGCTTTCGAAATAACTTACTGGTTTTGATCAGCTTTTAAAATTTTGTGTGAGAGTAACTCTTGTGAAAATGCTCGAGAGCAAAAAAATCGCTCCAATTGTGAGCCTTGTTATAAACCTGGATAACGATGCTGTGAAAGTTGTAGTGGTAGCGAAAAAGTGTCAAACTAGGCCTAAACAGGCAACAAGGCTCGGCCTTGATAACCCAGTAACACCGAGGCAATAGGGATCGAGGCAAATGTAGAAGATAAAATGGCTCGTTGAGCGAATTTTCCACAGCTTGACCGTCAAAAATTGATGCCACAAGAAGTCATCAATCGCACAAAAATGCTCAAGGATGGGAATCCTATTGCGACACTTGCCGAACTTTGCTCGACTCAACCACATTTCATTCCAGCTCTAATAATGGCTTCTAGCCCACTTTTTTCATTTTCAATGAATAAGGGTTGAAATGACATGTTTTTTTTTGCTTCAATGAAAGTCAAATTTCTATGCGATTCTATCGGTTGTACCAGTTTTTCATATAAAATTCGCTCTCACCTAAAAGATTGGAGATCTGTGACTTTTTCCTGCTTTTATGGGTTTTTAGACTGATCCGTTTCATTTAATACGAGTTTGGTGAACAGCTCTTCCAGTGTTGTAATCAGAATCTTTTCAATGGTTTATTGGTCCAATTAAGATGAAAACAATATCTACGCAGATGTATTGTACGGATGCAGTGGAGGAATCGTCAGAACTGCTGCTTGGATTAGAGTTTTTCTTGTATCACAGGTTTCACAGCTGAAACAATTACATGTAGCAGAAGGAGTAGGAAGTGATATCCTGATATTTTGGCGAGTAAGTCACTCGAAACCTTAAAGGCAGTGTGTCATCTCGTTTCGTGGGTTAAAAATACCAACAGACACTTGTCCTCGTCATCACGTTAATTGCAACGATGCACGTCAAAGCTCATAAAAATGCCGAAAACCCCGTTT